CGGCCGGCGCGCGGCCCGGCCCGTCCCGCGAGCTTGCGCCCGCCCCGCGCCTCAGCCCGGCCCCGGGTCCATCCACCGCCGCCGCCACCGCCATGGCCCGGCCGCTGATGCCCAGTTCGCAGAAGGCGCTGCTGCTAGAGCTGAAGGGGCTGCAGGAGGAACCGGTGGAGGGCTTCCGCGTGACGTTGGTGGACGAGGGCGATCTGTACAACTGGGAGGTGGCCATCTTCGGGCCCCCCAACACCTACTACGAGGGCGGCTACTTCAAGGTGAGGTGGCATCAGTTTCCCCTCTGTGCCCGCAGCCCCGCCCCTCCCTGTTTTGTTCGGCCCGTGCTGACGTCACCCTGGGGAAGGGTCTCCCAGGGCTGTCTTACACTCTAAGATAAGGGTACCCAGAGCAAGCATGTCCCAGGAATGGGGTGTCTCTCACCTCAAGCCAAGGGGACCCCAGAACGAGTATGCCACAAGAAAGGTATGTTTTACACCCCAAGACAGAGGTCTACAGAGCCAGCTTTCCCAGGAAAGGGGTGTCCTATCAAGACAAGGGGAGGCCAGACATGGTGACTCACGCCTTTAATCCCAGTGCTTGGGAGGCAGAGGCAGGTGGATCTCTGTGAGTTCAAGGCCAGCCTGGTCTACATAGTGAGTGCCAGGACACCTGGGGCTACAGGAAGACCCTGTCTCAAAAAGACCAAAAAAAAAAAAAGACAAGGGGAACCCCAGAGCTGGCTGCCCCCAGAAAAAGGGTGTTCCACACGCCAGGACACAGAGGTCTAGAGTGGCAGCTGCTGGCCGGTGTGTCCCCAGGGAATAGACATACAGCCTGGATGGCCACCTGCTCAGGTTCTAGTGGAGGCCCTGCAGGGCGTTGGCAGCTGCTCCTGCCTGGACAGCAGCCACCTCTGCCCAGCCAGGCTTTATGTAACAAGGGGACAGTAGGAATAAGACCTGGCCACACACCCTGATCGCGCAGCCACACCCCAGGCCCCTGCCAATGGTCCTGTAGAGGGGGGGTGTTCTGCACTGTCTCAGCCAGCCTTCCTCAGGCCCCCTGAGCAGGTGGCCCTGTGAGGGGACCTCATCTTCTGCCCTCTGGTGGCTTAAAGCCAGATGCACCACGTTTTCCTTAGGAGCCTGGGGCTCTCCCCACACTGTATCTGTCCCTCACATCAGGGTCACCTGTCACTCTCCATTCTGTGGACTAGAACAGGCAGGGTCTTGTCCCAAAGGGACAATGCAGGATATGCTGGATACGCAAACCCCAGCCAGCCCGGGCCCATAGGTGGGACTGCCCTGATTTCTGTGTTGGGTTAGCATCCGAGGGTGCTGTTCTTGCCCCACTCGCCCAGTAACTAGAAAAGAAGCAGGCTCCCCCACCCCCTCCCTGCCAGGTGGTTCTAGAATTGGGGTTGCTGGGTACAGAATAGGAGGTAGTGGTAGGCACACTTGGGGACCCGCCCTCACACCTGCAGCTAGGATTTTGTGTGTTTGGAGGTAGCTGGCTAAGAGCTGGAGGGTGTGCAAGGAGTGTGGACAGCCAAGTTCCCCAGGACTGCAGATGGGGCACCATCTGGAAGGAAAGTCTCCAGTCTGTCTGCTACCCACCCTCAGAGGACTGTGGGCAGAACCAAAGGCTGGCTTGACTCTGGAGGTGTCTGGTGCAGGCTCTGCAGGAAGCCAGTGTGGGACCCTCCCATCTAGGGGGTGGGTGTCTGAAACATGAGGAGACCTTCTGAGAATGGTGTTGTGAGGTACCAGGGCATCCTCAGTGGTCCAGCCCCATGCTTCTTCATGAGCCCTGCACACTCCAGCAGAGAACTGGAGTGCCCTTAAGCAAGTTGCATGCCCTCATTGGGCCTTTGTGACATTCTGAGGGTCCAGACATGGGAACCCAGCACTAGGTCTTGGGTACTTTGAAGTCTTGGGGAACCACCAGACAGGTTCTCAAACTCCAGTCCCTGTCTAGCTCTGAGACCACAAGCCCGTTCCCCCAAGTGCCCTCTTGTCCAGGGGAGCCCTGTCCTACACCCCTCAGAGTTTCAATTCCCAGGACAGGTAAGTGTTGGGCCTGCCTTCCTTCTGCAGAGAGAGTCTGAGGGACAGCAGGTCTCGGGGGCAGCCTAACCAGGCAGGTGGCTTCATCCCCATCTGTGGCCACAGGCAATGCTGGTGGGAGACTTGAGTGAGTGACCAGGTCTTCCTAGGAGCATTGGTCTGCTGACTCATCATGCTTACCAACCCACAGCAGTAGGACACCACTCTGTCCTCCATCAGTGTGGACACCAAGCCCTAGAGGTGCAGCCTGCAGCTATTTGGGCTTCTAGCTCTGTTCCCCGCAGCCACACTGGACCAGACACTGGGCTGTGCCAGTATTGGTGTCTCAATGGGCCTGGGTGGCCTATAGTGGATGCTGTTCCTTGTCCTGTCCCGTCCCATCGTCATGCCCTTCCCCCACACAGCCCCTGACAGCAGCACTCGGCCTCAGGGGTCCTGCAGGCCAGCACCCACTGAGCCACCCTGTTTTCTGCCCCCCACAGGCTCGCCTCAAGTTCCCCATTGACTACCCATACTCACCACCAGCCTTCCGGTTCCTCACCAAGATGTGGCACCCAAACATCTACGAGGTGAGCTGCACGTGTTGGCCCTGCACAACTGGCTGCCCCAAATACACACTCTGCACACTGCCTGCCCTGCATACTATGCACCCTGCATACATGCCTTTCCCACGTAACAGAATCATGTACACTGCCCCCAAACACCTACCCACATGTCTGCAGGCACAGGCACTTCTGCACATGCCTTCTCACGCCCCCATGCTCCATCTGGCCCTGGCCAACCCTTGACTTTCCTCCAGACAGGGGATGTTTGCATCTCCATCCTCCACCCCCCAGTTGATGACCCACAGAGTGGGGAGCTGCCCTCGGAGCGGTGGAACCCCACACAGAATGTCAGGTGAGGCCTGAGTGCTTCGGGTCTTGGCTGCCCTTGGGACATGGGTGGGAGGGTGGCGCAGTGCTGGGGTACGTATAAATCAACATCCCTGGGACTGAGACATCCTGTACCTCGAACCCTTCCTTCCTTGTGTCCTGGGGTAGCCTGCTCATGCATGGCCTCAGTGTGGCCCCAGCACACGTGTGGGGACGGTGGCTGGAACTCAGCTGGCCATACTCCACAGGACCATCCTCCTAAGTGTCATTTCCCTGTTGAATGAGCCCAACACATTTTCGCCTGCCAATGTGGATGCCTCGGTGATGTACCGGAAGTGGAAGGAGAGCAAGGGGAAAGACCGAGAGTACACAGACATCATCCGGTGAGCTGCCCAGCCCAGCCTTGGAAACGGGGGACTGCAGAGCAGTCTATTTTGTGTAAGAGTAATGTGTCTTGTGAGAGAGTCATATATTTCGCAAGTGTGACAGCGTGCCCCAAACATGGCCAGGACACAGACCCCGCTCAGCATAGCTGTCTTCTCTGTCCCCTAAAACAGCTGCTCCTCAAGGTGGCTGCTGTTATGATGGTTGCAGTCCCGGCTCTCTGCAGGGTTTGCTGACCCATTGCCCCTGTCCTCTTTCCTTGGCTTGTCACTCAGCTCTGTCATTAGGTTTCCATGCATCTCCAAGTGGCATCTTTCCCATTTGCTGGCTAAATGTCACATGTGTTATCCTGACTGAGCTCAGGGGCCTGTCCTGCCTGGGGAGTTCTGGTGATGCAGGAAAGGGGTTCCTAGGGACCTGCGCTGTGGTCCCTCTCACATCTCATCTCTGCCCATTGTCACTTGTCAGCAGGAGTTATTGGCCAGTTTTTGCGTTTGGTGTTTTTTCAGAGCTGGCCCTCCTGGATGAGCATGTCTACTCCTCGTTTGTGTGTGTTTTCTGAAACAGGGCCTCATCTAGCCAAGGCTGACCTAGAACTTTGTCTGTAGCCAAGGCTGGCCTTGCCAGTCCTGCGTATTTCCTCTCTGCCTGGATGACTGGCATGCACCACTACACCTGGCATCTTTCACAGCACTGACCCAGGAGCACAGGCGCCCATCTGCATGCATGGTGACCAAATGCTCACGGGGGCCTGTTAATCCTGAGGTAGCTGAGCAGGCCATGGCCACCACTGGGAACACATGGTGCAGACACAGGCATTACCTGGTTTGTCCTGCAGAAGGCAGGCAAGACTCAGCTTACATGGGGCTGGCTGGTGCTGGTCAGTGCTGGCCCAGCACTTGGAGGCCCTGGGTTCATCTAGCCCCTCTGAACAGGTGCATGTCTCTAGCCACTGCATAAATCACCTGCTTCTGTAGGCGTGGGGAGTGTTGGTTAGGCAGGATGAGACTCCTGTGACCTCAAGGTCCAAGGACCCTGCACTGTGGAGACATAGTCCCCATCACAGTCACACATCAGATCCCCACAGGGCCTCTTGAGGTTCACCATGGCACCCTGTTTTCCCTCCTTCCCTCCCTCTCTTTTCTCTGCTTTTTAAAAAAATACATTTTTAAAAAGTTTTTATTTTATGTGTATGTGTGTATTGCCTGCATGTAGGTAAATGCACCCGTGTTGTGCAATGCCCAAGGAGGTCCGAAGAGGCTGTAGGATCCCCTGGGACTGGAGTTACAGACAGTTGTTAGCTGCCATGTGGGTGCTGGGATTTGAACCCGGGTCTTCTGCAAGAACAACCAGTGTTTTTAACTGCCAAGCCATCTCTCCAGTCCCATGAATATTTGTTATTTTTTATGTTATCTGTATGAGTGTATTACCTGCATGTATGTGAGTGCACCCATGTCATGCAGTGCCTCGGGGGTCAGAAGAGAGTATTGGATTCCCCTGGAACTGGAGTTAAGGATGGTTCTTAGCCACCATGTGGGTGCTGGAAATCGAACTTGAGTCCTCTGGAGACAGGGTTTCCTGTAGCCCCAGCTGGCCTGGAACTCACAGAGATCTGCCTGCCTCTGCCTCCCAAGTGTGGGATTAAAGGCATGTGGCACCACTGTGAGTATTACTTTTTTTTTTTTTTTGGTCTTTTTGAGACAGGGTCTCCCTGTAGCCCCAACTGACCTGGAACTCGCTGTATAGACCAGGCTGGCCCCGGACTCACAGAGATCCACCTGCTTCTGCCTCCCAAGTGCTGGGATTAAAGGCATGCGCCACCACGCCCAGCGATTATTACTATTTTTATTCTCTGTGTGTCAGTGTTTTGCTTGCATGTTAAGTGCTCCTGTGCATGTAATGCCCATGGAGACCAGAAGAGAGCATCGGATGACGCTTAAGGATGGTTGTTAGCATTGTGTGGGTCCTTGGAACTGAACCCAGGTCCTCTGCAAGAGCAGCCAGTGCTCTTAACCACCGAGCCATCTCTCCAGCCCCTCTCAAATGCCTCAGGGGTCAAAAGAGGTCATTAGATTTCCCTGGAACTGGAGTTAAGGATGGTTCTTAGCCTCCATGTGGGTGCTGGGAATCGAACTCGGGTCCTCTGGAGACAGGCTGGCCTGGAGTACACAGTCCTCCTGCTCCCTCTTGTGCATGAACTCTTGGCTCCCAAGCTGTCAGGCTGCTGCGCTTTGGGGTTTCTAGACAGTCCCTTGGTGTTTCCATGTGTGTAAATGTGAAGACTCAGGGACAGGCAGGAACAGCTGCTCCCACCAGTAGACCCTGTCACTGAGAACCACAGTTTCCTGGCCTTCAGTTGTGGCCTGCCTGTTTTTAATTTAATTTTTTTTTTAATTTATTTTATTTTTTTGAGACCTGACCACCTTGTAACCTCAGTCGTCCCGGAACTCCCTATGTAGACTAGATTGGCCTCAGTCTCGCAGAGCTCCACCTGCCTCTGCCTTCTAAATGCTGGGATTAAAGCCACGGGCCACCCAACTGTGGCCTTTTTTCTGTTGTGCTTTCTTTCTAGAGTATGTATGACATACTCTAATGTTTTAAGCTCAAAACTGTGGTGGGCACACACACAACCCTTTGTCAGGCTGATAGGTGGCACCTGTTGTGCCCACCAGGCTGGGAGAGCATCTGAGAGGACCCCGTCTGCACCTGGCACCCTGAGGCACTGGCACACACTTCACCTGGGTCCTGGTGCCCTTAAAGGCTGTAGATCTGGCCAGTGCTGCAGGTTCCTGCCCCACATGGCAGCTCTTGGCCCCATTCTCTCTGGCTGCTCCCACCTGTATCCCTGTCCCAAAGCAAGCAGAAGCCTGGGCTATTTTTACTCTCTGAACCCATGAGCCACTTGCAGGCCATGTGGGGACTGCAGGATACATCTGCTCCTGCAGCTTCCTCAGAGCATGTGTCTGGGCCACACCCCTGTGTCCCTGCTGGACAGCTCCCCTGGTCTGCAGGGACCTGGACAGGAATACCTACTTGCCCTGGCCAGCACCTACCACCTCACAATATGTGGAAGGGCCAGTGAAGACAGTCATGGATACCTCTGAATCCTTGCCAGCTCCTCCCTGAGGGTCTCTGGTCTCTTTGGGGAACCCACGACCGCTGTGCTCAGTTCATTCCATGGGATCCACAGGACCTTCACCCTGAGCAGCTTGTGGCCTGGCAGCTCAGGCACCCAAGGCCCCTTCCATGGCCTGTTTTCTTAAGACCCCCCCACTACTGTGAGAGGAGCCCCTGCTCTTTGTGGGTCCAGTGTGGAGCCACCACTTCCTACTTGAAGACCTCAGCTGCAAGCCTGTCTACCGCCCCCAGACTCCCTTTGTTTGAGTGCAGCAGTTACAGGCTGCAGTGGGGGTGTTACTCTCATGTGGTGCCTGCTATAGGTGCTCGTATGTGCACATGTGGGGTGCTCAGACACCAGGGAGGATGAGGTGTCCTGCTCTGTCACCTACCCTGTCCCCTTAAGACAAGGCCTCCCTGAACCTGAAGGCAGGCTAGAGAGGTACCAGCAACTCCGGGATCCCCCAATCTGCATTCATGCAGCACGTCTGGTGCCTGTCATTTTTTTGAGTTGCCAGGATCCTCACAAAGTGAGTTCTTTGCCCACCAGGCCCACTGATTTTTTTGTTTTCAGGTAAGTGTTACTATGTAGCCCAGGCTAGCCCAGAACTCACAGCCATCCTCCTGCTTCTGCCTCCAAGTGCCAGGTGACAGGCCTGCACCTCTGCCTGCTTTGGATCTGATCGTGAAACCTGGGAGTGGCAGCATTGGTGGTTCTGTTCTGGCTCCCTATCCTCCCTCTGGGTCCCAGCAAGTCTGACCACACGCTCACCCGCCCTGTTCCCCCAGGAAGCAGGTCCTGGGGACCAAGGTGGATGCTGAGCGTGATGGCGTCAAGGTGCCCACCACGCTGGCTGAGTACTGCGTGCAAACCAAGGCACCAGCGTCTGACGAGGGCTCGGACCTCTTCTATGACGACTACTATGAGGATGGTGAGGTAGAGGAGGCCGACAGCTGCTTTGGGGACGACGATGACTCGGGCACTGAGGAGTCCTGACCTGCGGCCCTGAAATAAACTTACAAATTTTACCTCAGCAGGACCTGTGTGGGCCTCAGGCGACACTACCTCACATGAGGTCCCAGCCATGTCCCCGTGGGTTTACCTTGGCTTCGGGGAAGCCGTGGGGTGGGTAGACACCCACTCTGCTTGAGGAGACCTGGAACCCGAGGCCATCTGCATTGTGTCCTCTCTGCTTTGGCGTGTGTGAAACCCAATAAAGTGGCTTTGTGAAAAGCTGGGAGAGGTAGCCAGGACACCATGTCGCTGCGCACCAGGAAGCTGCAACTTCATTTCCTTGATCTTCAGCAGCAGCTCCAGGTCTCCAGGGGCCTTAGAGTGGGTCTTGAGGGTCCTGGGTCAAGAGGCATCCCACTTCTGCCTGCTGCCTGCAGATCACCTGCACCAGCCCAGCACCCTCTGGCTTGTACTCACCAGGACCAGCTTTCCCAACAGACATTGCACTCCAGGTATCCTGGGCTCTAGAGGCTCAGAATCCTCTTGACCCTGACCAGTACCTGTGGCCGGAGGACTGTGGACTGCCACCTGGGTGGACCCCCAAGACAGTAGCAGCAGGGAGCTGCAACCTGACCATGGCCTGCTGCATTGTCTCTGTGGTGATCCAAGCTGGCCTAGAAGCCAGTCCTGAGTGCTGGGGTTACCAGTGTCTACACTGCAGGGTTCCTGTATACTGGGGATGACCCCAGGGTATGTACGTGTGGGTCTGTGGGCACCTTAGATGTATGTGGAGGCCACAAGAGGGTGCTGCTATTCTAGCATTCTCTGCCTGTTTCTTTGAGCAGGGTCTTTCCCTGAATGGGGTTCACATCACCTCAGCTGGACACCAGCAAACCCCAGCCACCCACCTATCTCTGCCTTTGAAGCAGGAGTGACAGGTGTGATAGACCCAGCTTGTTACCTGGGTTCTGGGATCTGAACTAATGATTGTCCAGCAAGGCCTTTTAGCAGCTGAGCCATCTCTCCAGGCCCACTTCAAGCTCTGTGTACTGCCTGCATGTGTGTAAGTACACCCGTGTCCTGCAATGCCTGTGGAGACCAGAAGAGTGTATCAGATTCCCTGGAACTGGAGTTACAGATGGTTGTTAGCCATCATGTGGGTGCTGGGAACTGAACCCAGGTCCTTTGCAAGAGCAGCCAGTGCTCTTAATCATTGAGCTTGCTCTCCAGCTGCCCCCCCCTTAAAAAATAAAAAAAATAAAAAAAACATGATTTCATTTTCATGTAACCCAGGCTGGCTCCAAATGCTGTATAGCTGAGGCTGACCCTGAACTCGATCCTTCTGCCTCCAGCTCTAGGGTACTGGGATGACAGGAGTACGCCACCTTACCCAGTCTATGAGGTGTGTTGTGCAATCTCTGTGTACTGAGTTATAAGCTACAGTTCCAGCCTCACTTCGGACACCAACCTCCTCTATTTCAGTCCTGGAACCCAACATAAATTTGGCTAGCTGGGGAGCCAGGGAGCCAGCTCAGTGGTTAAGAGCACTGGCTGCTCTTGCAGAGGACCCAGGCTCAGTTCCCAGCATCTACATGGTGATTAACAACCCACAACCCCAGTTCCAGGAATTCCAGTGCCCTCTTCTGGCCTACAATGGCATTGCACAGGAGGTGCACTCACATGCAGAAAAAAACAAAAAATAAATTCTTAGAGATTCAGACAGGAAGGGGCCTCGACAGGGAACAGCTGCACGGCCATTCAAATGTACTGCTTGGCTTTATCGCTTCAAAGCGAAATGGTGCCATACTGAGCATCTCTCCAGCCCTCTCCTTGACTGGGCAGCAGGGCCTGGTGGGGCCCGAGACAGGTACATGAGGGACTTAAGAGAGCAGATCTGGGGGCTGGAGAAATGGCTCAGCAGTTAAGAGCACTGACTGCTCTTGCAGAGGACCCGGGTTTGATTCCCAGCACCCACATGGCAGCTATGAACCGTCCTAACTCCAGTTCCAGGGGTATTCAACACCCTCTTCTGACCATGGTATTGAATGCACCAGTGCACTCAACATACCTGCAGGCAATACACTCATACACATAAAATAAAAATAATAAAATATTTAGAAAAAGCAAAGATCTGCTGGGTGTGGTGGCACACACCTAGTCCCAGCACTCAGGAGGCAGAGGCAGGCCGATCTCTGAGTTCCAGGACAGCCTGGTCTACATAGTGAGTTTCAGGACAGCTGGGGCTACAGGGAGACCCAGTTTCAAAAAGACCAAAAAAAAAAAAAAAAATCTGTCAGGGGACTGTGGGCATGAGGAGGTTGCTTCAGCCCTTAACTGCCTGTCTGCTCTCTGGCAGGCAGCATATTTGAGACTCAAATCCCTGGAGGTCCTAAGGTGACCTTCCATTCTAAAGTGTATATGGCTTCAGTGCAGAAAGCAGGGTCCCACGTATGCAGGGATAACCTTGTGCACCCTCAGTGGGTGTTCACTGCTGCTCACTGCCTTTTTGGGCTGTGAGTACCCCACCCTGCTCCTCACTTCTGAGCCCCCACGTCCCCATCTCCATCAGTGTGGGGCCCCAGGACCTAATCCAGCACATTTTCCTTTCTCTTTGGGGGCTGCATAGACTGTGTGATGGTTGACTGAGGGCTTATGGTACAGGAAAGTCATCCTCCTTCCATCCAGACCCCTTATGACACTATGCAGTCTGTGTCACCTATGGCTACCAAAAGCTGGCCAGCCAATGAGCAGAACTAGCACCATCAACCTGCCAGGAGAACCAGGTGAACATGGTGGTTTACCCAGCATTTGGAAGGCAGAAGCAAGTGAGTCTTTGTGAGATTGAGGCCAGTCAGGGCTACACAACCAGAACTTCTGTCAATCAATAAAATATAAAACTCAAAGCAACAAAAAGATTGTTGACTTTTAAGCCGAGCATGTCCTTAACCCCAGCACCAGGGAAGCAGAAGCAGGTGGACCTCATGAGTTAAAGACCAGCTTGGTCTACATAGTTCCAGACAAGCTGGAGCTACAGCAAGACCCTGTCTCAAAAAGACCAAAAAAATTTTTTTGTTGACTCATGTAACCCCAAAAGTCCCATAGTAGGCTAGCTTCAGGCATGGCTTAATCTTATCGAGGTGTTTACATGAAGTTTTCCCAGACAGCCACAAGGGCGCCCCCACCCAGCCCTGGGTGCTGTGGGAAGAGATTGTTTCTGTGTAGTTTGGAGAGAGTCACTGCATAGGAGAGAGAGCCAAGAGTCTCCCCAGAAGAGGACAGGAAAGACCTTCCCAGGGCTGGCTGGGTGTGGGGAATGGAGGGACGCTGGTACAGTCACTGAACCAAAGTCACTTAGCTGAATGAAATTAGTTCTGGGCCTGCATGACCCTGGGACTCGGGCCTCACCTTCCACATCAGCGCAGCCATTCCATACCCCGGCGACAACCCCAACTACAAGAACAACCTGCACTGCTCTACAGCCAGCCAAAATGCCCACTGCAGCACTTTGGGCTGGGGACTGACAGGCCAGGATGGACACCCAACCCTGAGGCTGTGGAAGTGGGATCTGCACATGCTGGACACATGCGTGACAGCCACTTCTGCATCGTTAGCCTCACAGATAGCATGATGTGTCTGAAGGCCACAGCCCCTGGCCAGGTACCATGCAAGGTGACAGAGGCCAGGAAGAGGGGAGGGAAGGATGCACACATGGCTTGCCATCATCCCCCTGCCCCCAAGTGCAAGCACAGAGGCTTACCTTCCCTCATTTGACAGGGTGACTCCTGAGGACTCCTGGTGTGTGGGAAAGACCAGGTGAATTGGATCCTGCTTTTCAGCTGACTGCTCTCAGGTAGCAGGTGCTGGGAGCCATATGACCAGCAGGGGGTGCCTGCACCTACTGAGGCTCTATCACAAGAAGTAGGGGGATGAGAGGCCCAGAATGTTCCTAACTTCTGTTTTAATGACACCTCAACACACCCAGGTAAAGTGTCATTTCAGCAGGTGTAAGCACAAGACCAAGCAAGCCTTGTCTCTATCTAGTTCTAGACTATTCCACCACCCCGAAAGGAAACCACATCCCCATGCCACATGACAGACCTGTCTCAAAAAAAATAGAGCTGGGCATGGTGGTGCATACCTTTAATTCTTGCACTTGGAAGGCAGAGGCAGGCAGACCTCTGTAAGATGGAGGCCGGCCTGGTCTCGTATAGCCCAGACTAGACTCCAACTCCCTATGTAGCTGAGGATGACCTTGAACTCCTGATCTTCCTGCCTCTACCTCCCAAGTGCTGGGGTGTCAGGCATGCATCACCACACTCCGGTTAACCCAGGGCTTCCTTCTTCCTGGGTGACAGTCATGGCCCCAATAAATTTCTTTCACAAAAAAACATAGCTTTGTAACCAGTAGAAATTCTGAGAAAGGCCAGCCAGAAGTCAGAGGGCAGAATTAAAATAATGAAGCTTAAAGATTTTAATCGGCTTATTTTCCTGCACTTTGTCCTAGAAACCTGGGTGTGTGCAGCTGTGTGTGTATGTGCACGTGTGCGCCTGTGTGCACTCCCTACCAAGCCCCAGGGAGGGTCCTTCCAGCCTTACCTAGCCTCTAGGACTCCGAGTGAGCCTTGTCTACATAAGATAGGTTTCAAAGGTCTGAGCAAATTAACTGGGTTTTATAGACCCAGAAGGGCCTGGATAAAAGAAGCAGAAACAAGGCAGGGCATGATGGGTACACCTGGGATCCCAGCACTCTGGAGGTTGAGGTAGGCTCTGGAGGTTGAGGTAGGTAAAGGAAGAATTCAAGGCTACCCTGGGCTACAGTGCAAGACTCTGGCCCAGAACACAAAATCAGAGAGTTGCCTGGCTTGCCAAGAACATCTTCAGGCTGGGTATGGTGGCATATGCAGCCTTTGATCCCAGAACTCAAGAGGCAGAGGTGGGTGGATCTCTGTGAGTTCAAGGCCAGCCTGGTCTACATAGCAAGTTCAGCATCAACCTGGGCTACACAGTGAAAACCTATCTCAAAAAATAAAAAGGTGGGGAGTCTGGAGAGAAAGGTTGGCAGTTAAAAGCACTGACTACTCTTGCAGAGGACCCAGATTCCATTCCTAACATAGCCGCTAACAAACTCCATATGTAACTCCAGTTCTAGAGGATCCAATGCCCTCTTCTGACTGTGGGCCTTACAGGACACAGGTGCACTTACAAAGATGCAGGCAATACACCCATACGTAAAAATAAAATCTGTATACCCATACATAAAAATAGAGTGGCCAAGTGTGGTGGCGCAGGCATTTAATCCCAGCACTTGGGAGGCAGAGGTAAGTGGATCTCTGTGAATTCAAGGCCAGCCTGGTCTACATAGTGAGAACCAGGCCAGCTGTGGCTACAGGGAGACCCTGTCTCAAAAAGACCAAAAAAAAAAACAAAAAAATCAAAAAAATTAAAATTAAAAAAAAAAAAAGTGTGATCTGTTCCTGCAGTTCCATCTTGATTGTCTCATGAAAGTATTGGAGAGCACTTTTACCTGTGTTACTACCTGGCCATGAGTTCCTGGAGTTTGAGTTCTGATCTGATGGGAAATTAAGATATGCCAACAACAATTATAAAAAGGATGTCATGGGGCTGGAGAGAGAGCTCAGCAGTTAAGAGCACTAACTGCTCTTGCAGAAGACCCAGGTTCAATTCCCAGCACCCACATGGCAGCTATGAACCGTCCTTAACTCCAGTTCCAGGGGAACCCGAAGACCTCCGTGGCATTGCACGACATGGGTGTACTCACATACATGCAGGCGGTACACTCATACACATTAAAAAAAAAAAAAAAAGATGTCATGAGTAGCGCACACCTTTAATCCCAGCACTCAGGAGGCAGAGGCAGGCAGATCTCTTTGAGTTCAAGGCTGGCCTGGCCTACATAGCAGGTTCCAGGCCAGCTGGGGCTACAGGGAGATCCTATCTCAAAACAAAAATAACTGGCCTTGACTTCATGTCTGCTGTCATGGCAGTTCCTGGCAGCACCCTGCAGGGAGGCCCAGAGGGGGTGGCCAAAGTGTGGCTAGGCTTGAGCTATGTGAACAAAACCTTGCATCTGAGCCCAGAGGACTTTGGTGGGGGAGTCATAAGAATGTTGTGACAGGTGGGGCCTGGCCTGTGTGGACCCTTAACTCTGTCCTGCTTACCTTGGAGAAGCCCTCAGCAAGAATCCCAGCTACATCAAGCACCAAAAGATGCAGGGGCTGCCCAAAACATCTCCAAGAGGATCGCCACATCACAGAACCACATCTATCTCACAGCCCACAACCTTGTGCTGAATCTCCAGGATGAAAGCTTTACCCGGGGAAGTGACAGCCTCATCAAGGGTAAGAAATGAATGTGATCATCAGAAACTCCACCCACAGAGAGGAAGTGGATGGGTTTCTCCAGTTTTTGAGGATCCAGCAGGATGAGGGGAATCTCTGCACATCCTCCCAACCCCAGTATCATGTGATGGTCCCTCAGCACTTGCCCTCTTGAATTAAAGAAGACTAAAGACCAACCCTTTTGGAGAGAATGGCTTTCCTCCTCCCTGTATTGGCCCAGGAGGCTGGGTCAATGTGTGATTTCTCAGTAATTGCCTACAATGTTGTTCCTTCCCTCAGAGTGGGAGGAGAGAACCACCACCCCAGGAATTCTCAATAAATTTTTATTACCAAGACTGGAAAAAAAAAAAAAACCCAAAACAAAAAAATGATGTCATGGTCAGAAAAGAGATTTATGTACATAAAATTGTGATGATACCAGGCATGGTGGCACACACCTTTAATCCCAGCACTCAGGCGGATCTCTGTGAGTCCAAGGCCAGCCTGGTCTATATAGTGAGTTCCAGGCCAGCTGGGGCTACAGGGAGACCCTGTCTCAAAATGACAAAAAATAATTGTGATGAAAAGAATTTAAAAGAGGGGCTGGAGATATGGCTCAGCAGTTAAGAGCACTGGCTGCGCTTGCATAGGCCCCAGGGTTCAGTTCCTAGCACCCACATGGTGACTAACAACCATCTGTTAAGGTTCAGATAGCCCTGCCCCCTCACCAACAGGATCCCAAGGACTTCTCAAGCTCCTGAGAAAAGGGAACCTAGCTGATAAGCACGCTGGTCTCTGAAGTCAAGAGAAGCAGACTTTTCTCCACTGTTTGGTCAACACAGCAGGCTTCCCCTTTGATCTCTAAAGAAGACAGGTTTTAACAGTCTGCTCTCCCACTCCCCCCACAACTTTGAAAAAAATACATCTTCCTGCCTTCTGCAGGAAGCAGAAGTCTCCCTTTTTAAAAGACCCCAGCTCAAGACCTGGGCAGACATTTTCCATGCCCAGAAGGGAATCTGTCCCATGTGTTCCTTTGCTAATAAGCCCTATTTTGATGGAGTTTTAGCTGTGCCTCGGTGCCTTATCATCCATTCGCTCGTTCTTTGCCAATTTTTTACCTATCAGATGGTGCCAAAACCCGGTTCTTACTTCAAGGGACCCGCCTGGACTTCTCCAATGCCACTAACTTGGCTTTCAGGTACACTTCTTTTCTCTCTTCTCCTCTCCCCAGCCCTCTGCTTTGCTTTCACCTCTTTCTGGATCTCTTCACTGTAAACACTCTGCCTTGCCTACTTCTTTTGATCTCCTTTCCCATTGATTTTCACCACTCCTGGACAGCACTGTGGTCTCTGTGACCCACCTGCTTCATCCGTTCCCTATCTCGGTTCCCCCACTGGCCGCTCACCACTGGCATCTTGCCCCCTGCCCCCCTCCTTTGCCATGGGCCTGCAAGGTCTGCTGTCTTCCATCCTTTTTCCTGTCTTTGTCCTCTTCCACTGCCTTTCCTCCTCACTTTACTCGGGATGATTTCTGATACCGTTCAATCCAACACATACAAATGCTCTGTATCCTTCTCCCTTCTCTCCCCCTCCCATACTAAAGCTTTCTACTCCCTGCTGTGTGCCTGCCTGCCAACCCACCTCCTGTCTGACCTCACATGCATGTTTTAAACCTGCATGATCCCAAGGCTTTTTTTTTCCTTCCCGCTATTCACCCCCTCCAGGCAGCTGCCAAGAGCCAAGATTGCCAGCTCGCCTGCCCTGGAAAATTTTTCTTTAACATTCTAATGAAATGATAAGTTTCCAGCTGGGCCCACTCTTAAATTCTCTTATAGATTTGGCTAAAAACCCTTTAGGGGACCCTTTCTCTCCATTTTGACCCAACTAGCCTAAAACCAGCTGGGCAACTTTGCTGAACATTTAAAGAATTTCAGGCGGCTTGCTCCATTGACAAAGGAAAAACGTTTTAAAAACCTTTTTTTCTCCTAAACTTTTTCTCTGACAAAGGGGCTCAAACTTTGATCTTAGGCCCTCTTAGGCATCAAGCAACTGGTACTCAGGCGCCTACTTTTCTAACTAGACCTAACCATTTTAAATTTCACTATACACAAAAGGTCATAGACACTGCTCAGGCAAGTCATATGCTTTCAGACCAACGAACACTGATTTATATGCCCTGTTCCTTCTGCTGCCCTTGTGAGTTTCCTTTCCTTCGATTTGCTTTTCTATTTGGGTCACATACATAATCTGAGGGTACTTTCTTTAATATCAAGCCTAATCTACCGGTACCAGGGGTGCCTAGGATTCCCTTGTAATTTATTTTTGTTTATGTTTATTGATGATGTCATAAAATAAACAAATGCATTTCTAGTTCAAACTAAGGGAATAATGTCAGATCTACACAATGGGAGTTTACATTTTAACATGGTTTAGGGCCTGTTTCTAAAGGGGATTACTTTGCATTTTAACTTCTTCTATGGTATATTTACTGTTTTTTAAAGATAATTGTTTCAAGTTTTCACTTTGTTTGACATATTTATGGATTTTTTAAAAGGAATTATTTTTAGGTTTTGACATTGTTTGCATGACATCTTTATCTGGTAATATTAAAGGAATTATTTTGGATTTTAACATCTTTTATATGGTATTTCCTAATTTCTAAAAATTACTATTTTAAATTCCTACTGTTTTACATGGTATATTTGCTAGTTTCTAAAGGGAACTTAAAGTTTTTCTAGCCATTTCCCTTCAAGGTGCAAAGGGAGCTGACACTTTGTGATGACTAGACCTGTGAAGCAGATGAAGATTTGCCGTACTCCAGGGCCAAAACCTTACAAGAGACAAGCTGCTACCAACACATAGTGACAACAAGGAGAGGTAAAAAGTCATAGTCTACTTGAATGAGAGGCTTGAGATGCCATCTCTACTGGCCTTAACTCCTCCCCTTTCTACATTGTGATTCTAAGCCTGTGTTTCTCTGAAATAGAGTTATTTCCCTCTCTGATACTCAGATGCTCTATTTTTGCTTATGTTCCTGCCCCATCATTCCCTGAGTGCTTTCTAGTTATAATGTCAGCATAATATTAATTATATTGGTAAATTGTCACGTGCTGTTTGAGCTCACTGAGATGCAAACTCTGAAGATGGGATTGGCCTTCCCACTTCAGACTTATGCCTATTATCTCAAAATGTGTTCTCCAAGACTTTTCCAGGTTCAACCTGGCTCCTTGACCCTGTGACAAGGAGGAGACCAAAAACCAGCATAAGAGTAAAGGCACTATGCAGTTGAGAAGTTCTAAGGTGTAAATTAATTTCAAGAGAGGGTATTACTGACTATAATAAAACTAGCTAATGGAATTATTTTCAGCACTATTTACATTTTATTTATTCTTAACCAATCTG